ATGCCAGAAGATATGACAGATAGATATGTCAGAAGATATGCCAGAAGATATGCCAGAAGATATGCCAGAAGATATGTCAGAATATATGCCAGAAGATATGTCAGATAGAATGCCAGAAGATATGTCAGAATATATGCCAGAAGAATGCCAGATAGAATGCCAGAAAATTGCCGAAGATATGCCAGATAGAATGCCAAATAGAATGTCAGAAGATATGTCAGATAGAATTCCAGAAGATATGCCAGAAGATATGCCAGATAGAATGCCAAATAGAATGTCAGAAGATATGTCAGATAGAATGCCAGAAGATATGCCAGAAGATATGCCAGATAGAATGCCAAATAGAATGTCAGAAGATATTTCAGATAGAATGCCAGAACATATGCCAGAAGATATGCCAGATAGAATGCCAAATAGATTGTCAGAAGATATGTCAGATAGAATGCCAGAAGATTTGCCAGTAAGAAAATGTATAAATGTCATGGTGGGGATCACACGAAGTAAAGTAATTTCCTGTAGATTTTCCCTTAAACCAATCCAATGACAATAGGATTTCATGGGATTTCCAGGAAAAAATCATCCCAACCAAGGCTCAACCCATAACGCTACCCATCCCAGCCAGCCAGTTCGGGGACCGGAGACAAGGACAACCCCAAACACAAAAAGGTTCATTGCCAGTTTTTTTTTGGGGGGGATTTTCCACATTCAAAAATCATAGCTAAGTCCCATTATTCCATATTATTCCATGATTATTCCATGATTATTCCATGTTTTTTCCATGTTTTTTCCATGATTTTTCCCACTGCAACTTCATCATTCTCCACACCCCAGGAAACCTCTTACCTCAGCATCTCCATGTTGGCCCGAAGCTGTTACATGAACGCCGGCTTTAACCCCGTGGATGCCAACCGAGCCAAGTCGAAGACGGAGCCCTTTTTTGGCCGGGCTTAATGTGGTTAAAACAATGAGATAAACCAACCATGACTGGGAATGGCAAAACTACCGCCCATGAACATGGTGATGACTGGGGGATGGTTTATGGAATTGTTTTAACCCACATTACAGTTTGTCGAAGCTATGGCCAATCTGTGGATTCTAGAGCTTCTGAGACTGGTCATTTCCATAGTTATGTTAATTACGAAGGGATAAACCCAATTAGAAAGTATTGGGGATGTTCGTATTGGGGATGGTCTATATATAGCTGACTGTACCACATTCACAGCAAATCATCACACATCCGTTACGGAAGTTGATGTGTAAGACGAAAAGGATGCAGTTTTCTTTCCCATGTGTTCGTGGTTGGGTTTCTGCACGCTACTCGGTAGCTCTTTGCTATGATGCTGAAAGTATACGACTTGGGAAACCATTGATCAATCATCCAATCCTGATTTAAATTGCCATATAAGTTGGGGTACCTTCACCTAATTTCTTGGCAAACCTGTGAGGAGAAATCGGGTTTTTGGCACCTTTGCCTAGTGGCAAAGTCACGTTCCAGCACGATTGGTGCTTCATCCCACTAAGCGACTGAAAACGTCCTGCAAGGCCTGCAAGTGGATGAAGCCGCTTCTTATCCCACCATGGATAATCTGACATCATCTGACATCTGACCATATCCATCATATCCTTAGGATACCCGGGCGCCGTCCCAAGTAGATCTGGTCTCAGGAATGCTGCAGTGTTTTGCCAATGGGCTGTACCACCAGGCTGGGAGGCGCTGGTGAAATGGGTAAAACCATGCGTAAAACCATGGGACAAATGGTGGATTTCACCAAGATCTCAAGATTTTCTGGTTTGTGGCAGATCCATCCATAGTTAGAACATGTTGTGAACCAACTTAATACCTTGCAATACATCATGGCTTTGCTAAGTGGGTAACCCGTGGCATTTAATTGGTTCACCCCTACATTTCAATTGTAAAGCCCTTGGAAGCTCAAGAAATGGTTGCCTCACCCCAGTGTCGAGTAGCCACGAAACGGGGAACCGCTAGGAACCATCAGGATTGGTGACAGCTAGCGAGATGTTTTCATCAGATTGTTGTGGGGGCCCGAACACCAAGACGCAGCCAACATGGTTAAAAATAAAAAACATCGCAGTCAAGACGAATCTTCATCATCGATTTGGCGCCATTTAAGGATAGCTTCTCCACTTTGAAAAACACTGGCATCAGGGCCGCCGCAGCCGCAGCTGAGGTGGGAAATCTCTCGGAGCAGCTGCCAGGGTTGAACCTGAAACATCTGGGCTGCAGCAGAGTGGGAGCATATCGACTGGCTGAGATGGCCTTCTTGACGAGCGCGGAGAAAACCTTAGGTGAGGCCTAGGAAACAGTGGCTTCAGACTCCTGGTCTAGGGTCAGTGTGTCAGCCCATGATTGAGCAGCGGCTGCGTGAGTCCAACCCCTGGTGGTGGATGATTGTATTGGGAATCTCATCGTAATTCAACATGGGGAATCTCATTCTTAACCAATCAGTTCTCCCGCGACCAAAGTAGGTCGAAAATATGTCTTATCCCGATAAAAAGTGGGTACAAACTGGGGCTGTACCGATTCTTTGAGCAGGATGAACTACCAAGTCATCCAAGTACTACCAGGCTGATTCTGGAGTTTTGACAAGAAGCAATCCCTTTGACCCAAAAACCCAGGGTTTTGGCGACAGGTTGGCTGGTGACGCCGCCCTTCATGTGTCATCAATGCTGTCAGCAGGGCCATGGACGCTTGATGGTGCTCTTGGCGAGGACGGCTCCCCCAAAAATCGGATGCTTCAGAAGCGGTGCTTCTCCTACTTTTCGAGTTTTCTCAACTTTGGGATCCACATTGGTAGATAGCGAGGAAGAGAGAGAGAGAGAGAGAGATAGATAGATAGATAGATAGATAGATTCATTCTTATATATCTACATTCCCCAAATCCAGATCCGCGCGCGCGCAGGAACCCCTACATGCGCGTGGCCTCGTATTTCAAGCGCTGGATGATCACGAAGTTCGGCGGCTGGCCCAACTTCGCTACCTTCGTCACGGTGCTGATGGAGGTAACGAACACCACCAACTGCTTCCGTGTTTCGGTTTCGGAGATGGTGGGAAAATGGTGGGAAAATGGTGGGAAAATGGTGGGAAAATGGTGGGAAAACTAAGAGACATTGTGATTTGATTGGGAGATGATGGGGGTAACATGAGGTTTTCGAAAAATTGGGTAGCAAATGATTTAGCCATCATTTGGTCGGGGTTTCAACCATTCAAAGGGCAAATTGGAACGACCTCACTGCGATTGTGCTGCCGTGAATCGGTGCTTTAAATGCCCCAAAATGAGATCATCAAGGTCACCACTTCGGATGGGAATCTCATGGGAATAACTCATATTTCCCGGAAAAAATCAGTGGAATATCATTCTCCATTTTCATATTCCATTCATATTCATCAAAAACTATCAAACTGCTTGGTGGTTTCATTGTTTTGAAATTTTCCATTTCAGATATGGGTTTTTTCATCCTTCCCATTGACGAACTCATATTTTTCAGGATGCTTATTGCACCACCAGCCAGAATAAATCTTTCAGCACTTGAAGGACCATTCCAAGATTCCCATAGATTCCCATAGATTCCCATAGATTTCCATTCATATTCCCATAGATTCATCAAAAAATATCAATACCCATATACAATCATATACATATCCCCATAGATATATCCAATAGAAATACCCATAGATTTCCATCGATCTATTCCCCATAGATACATCCAATAATCCAATATATCGATGGAAATCTCGGAGCTCGCCGAGGCGATTGCATCGGAGCCGAGTTCCCATGGTTTTTCGGGACATGAAGAGATGATGGTAGTTATGTCATGGAAATAGAATGGGAAAATCAACTAGAAATAGGTAGTTAATGGTAGTTATAAATTATAACATGTTGTAAATAAAGGGAGAAATACCAGAAAACCAACATTAAGAAATATTAATGATACTAGTTATTTCATGGGAAAATCAACTAAAACTCAATTGAACTAAGGTGACTTCACCAACACTAGTGGTGACTTAACATGACTTAACCAAAATTTTCCCGTTTTCCCAAAGTTATTATATGGACATAGAATGGGAATCTCAAGTATGGTTTATGGCAGAAACCACAGATATTTGTAAAACCAACTTCCTATCTGCAATGGTGCGAGGTGAGTTCCCCGGTCAAGGACGCAGAGTTCACAGCTGGTTTAAAACGTTGGGTTTACTGTTGGGAGATAGTGGGTTTATAGCTATATATCCCATTAGCTAACTATAGAATGGTATAGGTATACCTACCATAAACCACAGTTAATCTAGTATATCTATGGTAGGTAACTATACCATTCTATAGTTTATACAGTAACTATAACTGTGGTATAGATATACCATTCTATGAGTTAATCTAGGTTACTATAGAATGGTAACTAACCAGTGGTATGGCTTTATACACTAACTTCTAACTGGGCCTCACTGGTTCCCGGGACGACTGGATGATCATGACTTGGGAAACAGCCAACTGCAACAGAGGAAACTAATGGTATATCATTGTATATGTATACTTGGGTCATATCTATAGTTAGGTGACATCTATACTTAGGTAATATCCCTACAAGCGCTAGGGTTAAGTCGTATCAGCTCGTTAAAGTCATATCGGGAGGCCGTTTCGCCTGCAAAAAGTTCAATTTTGGCATCATCACAACTTTTAGTGACTGAATTATTTCATTGTTTTGGAGCCGTGTGCTTGGAACAAGTTCCATTTTTGTTTCAATGTTTGTATTGCGGCCATTTTTAGCACTTATTGCAGCAATTACTGTAACTATATTATATGATATTCATTTTTGTACCTAAGTATTTCCATATTTTTCCATATTTTTCCGCCCCAGCTCACTTTTTCAATGAACAGCGTTTTTTTCGCGTCACATTTTTCGGTTCAGCGATGTGCGGATCGAGGTTGAATTCCGATGACGTCCTGCACCTTCGATCCGTCAAGGCAGCCGAGACGGTGGTGAGATCCAATAGTCAACCAGTTGGTGATGATCAACTGGTTATAATGGGACTATATGGAGAATATGGTATAATGATGGGTAGAATGATGGGTATAATGATGGGGATAATATGGTATAATTATGGATAATGGTATAATGGGACTATATGATAGGTATAATGATGGATAGGACTATAACATATAATGATGGGTATAATGATGGGTATAATATGACATCATTATTATCAACCAAGGTTATAGGTGGGACTATATGGATAATGATGGGTATAATGATGGGTATAATAATGATGATGAAACAATATTTTTCAGAGGGGTTGAAAAAACCAACTGGTTATAATGGGACTGACTATAATCCCATAAATCCATGGTGATGACTTAGGGATTTAGGGAATGGTCATCGATCCATTAAAGATTTACATACCCATTACTGGTTGGTGGTGACTGGAACCATGGAATTTTATGACTTTCCATATGTTGGAAATGTCATCACCCCAACTGACTAATATCTAAGAATTTTTATATATTTTTCAGAGGGGTTGAAATAACCAGCAACCAGAAGGTTTCTATTTAATATATTTAATCTTCTGGGAGAATATTCAGAATAGGTGTGTTACATCTTTGCGGAATCCGATGATGATGCCTTTTTTCGCCCAGCAAACGGAGTTTGATAGCGAAACTCGCTGGCAGCATCAGATCAATTGCCAGCGGGCTTCCATCGGGGATGCATCCCCCCCATTTCGAAGCCACCCGGGCTTCGATTCGGGATGCGCATCCATTCCATTATAATTCAATCAACATTCAAGTATGTCATACCATATCCCACTGTATACAGACAATATCCCATCTGGTTGGTGGTTTGGAACATGGCTTTTATGACTTTCCCATCATATTGGGAATATTTAATCATCCCAACTGACTCATATTTTTCAGAGGGATGGCTCAACCACCAACCAGGTTATTAACCATCATTAACCATATAATAACCATATATTAACCATTATTAACAGTATATTATCTGATTAACCAGCTGTTGATTATCCGATTCATCACTATCCCATCGTCAACGGGGCTTTCTTCCTATCCATCCGGGTTTCTGAACGGAGGAGATGTTGGATGACCCGCGGATTCAGCCACCGCGCAGCGCAAGGTGCGGTAGTGATTCACATGTCGACTGATAGTGACTGATATGTGAGATGTTGCTGGTAAAATCATAGAACATCATCTATTGAATGGGAAAATTTAGGGAATCATCACTCAGGTGAATGGGATTTATTATAGATTCACCACATATATATATATATATCCATTTTTTGCTCTGTTAAAAATATTAAAAGACAATGATAGATCATGGGATTATACGGTAGATATTAACAATTATCTGAAGGCGCTGTGGATGGTTGCGAAATCCTGCGCCACCGAAAAGATGGTTGAAACCCTATACCCTCTGGTAAACTTACAAAAAGCTATTGAAACCATGGCCCATAGAAATCGTTGATTTTCCCATATGGTGATTTTCAATAGCTATGTAACAAATTACCAGAGGGTATATTCCATTAATATCCCATTGAGTCACTATAAAATCCCATGAAATCACCATGGTTAGGATTCGGGGAATCCTTCCCAAATGGCCGCAGGTTTCAGGTTAGTGAAATATGATCATTTACCCAGATTATTTTTACACTTAAAAGAATCATGTGGTAAACCAAATAATAAACCACCCCAAAATTCAATCTAAATGGTTGGTATAAACCCTCCAAGACTGAAGGCTTATCGTTGGGTTCACCACATTGTGTATATATATATGATTATATATGTATTTCGAAGGTTTTGGGAGTGTTAAGGGATTATGATTCAAAACTTTTGAGAAACAGATGTGCTTTTTGGGTTTTGCATTTTTACTAGGGTTACAACTTGACATAGGCCAAAACCCGACAAACATATGGGATGTTTATTCCACAACACTTGGTTTAATTATAGGATATGATAGGGTAATCCGGTATTCCTATATTCCTATAGGCAGCCTCTAGAAACCCAGGCTTTAAAACTTGGTTGGTTTACTTCAATCCTTCAAGGTGGAGCTGCCAGGCAATTCTCTGTGCTGCGCTTGGAGAACTGGAAGGAGGATTGGAAAGCGATAGAGGATCGACTCTGCTCAGAGTCCCTTGGCTCTGCGTGGTGTGCCTGGATTTTTGGCTGGTTTTTCGGCAATTTGATGCTGGGCTCTGAGGGATTTTTTTTCAAACATGAAGCCCTGTCGCAGTTTCGAGGCGCGCCAACCAGTAAACATGGTAAACTTTACGATAGCGGAACATGACCCATCTAGTTCGATGATTCAGCAGTTGGTTGAATTATCATCATGATTTAATGAATAAAACCAACTGCTAAGTGGTGTGCTAAGTGGTGTGATAATTCAACCAACTGCTGAATCAAAGTTCATCGCGAGTCGCTAAATATTGACGAAAACTCTTTTGGAACTGGTGATTTTCCAGCCTGTCATCCGTGGCAATGGAGGGTTGCTGGGAAAATCAGCGACAAACATTGTGGAGTTTGCATGGTAATGTTTGATGACTGGAGGGGTAATCTTAAAACATAAAACTGTTTGATTACTGGAATACCAGTTTTATAGTTTACATATGGTAATACGACAAACATCATCTCCCTATTCTTGGGCTTTCTTCAACAATTAAGCAATGTTCCATGTCTGCTTAGCTTAGTGATGAACTGGGACGTTCCGTTGAGACTGGGGTACCAGCCGAACCAACAAAACGTACCCCCCGAAGCAATCGCTCATCAATTCTTTGTGGGTAAGTCATGGTACCCTGTATTTTTTTTGATCCTTCAAGAGCCCATTTCTGATGGTTTTCCCATATTTTTTTGCAACAAAAACATTAAAAAAAACATGTCAACATGAACAGTTCGTCGCCTTAGTCTTAGTTCATTCAATCCTCCTCGCGATCCGATCGATTTTGACGACCTTCGCTCCGGCTGGGATCCGGTGAGCACACATCCGGAATGACATCCGGGACGTCTGATGTGATATCCGCAAAACTATCAATAAATATTCCCCAGATAGAAACCTGTGAAGCTTAGATCATTTAATAGATTTGTCAATCACGTGTGACAGATCGGATTGATCAAATGGCCGCATTTCTCTCTTGATGGATTATATATCCATGCACAACGCAACTTTTTTTGAATGTTTTTTTTGGGTGGATTTCAAGCCACATCACTAACACATCAACTGATACAAGGTGGGTCTCCCTAGTTCTGTTTGTTTTGTTTCACCCCACTAACTAGTTTGATGATGTTCGATATATCTATATAGAATAAACCCAATCGTTATGCTAGTCATCCAAGCTAGCTATTTCGAACTGGGTCGTGCCTTGTACCACATTTCCATATCTTGATTCTTCTTATCCCACTAGATCCCCATGGATATTTCCAGTACATCCCCATATATTCAGGGTATTTCCCCATATCAATCACATATGAACCTCATTTTCCCAGCATTTTACATGACATTCCCATGATCTCCCAAAAAATGGCCGGTTCCACCGCTCAGGTTCCACCACTGCGAGCACCTCCCGCCGCCCCCTCGGGCAAAGGGCGATCACCATGCCCACACGGAGCGCTTGACGCGGGACGTCATCAGCTGGGCCAAGCTATGGCAGGACCTCAAGAAACCCATGCTGTTCCGTCACCTGGCAGATCAGCAGGGTTGGAGCGATGACGCATCGCGAAATATGGAAGCTATACATATATATATATATATGTATATATACACCTCTATATCTATATCTATGTCTATACATGGAGCCGAAGAAACGAAAGGCAAGAATCCGTGACACATTGTTGTTTTGGGATGTCTTGGGTAAGGCTGTGTGAAACATGAACTTTCTAGGAAAACGTCCGTGATTTTATGGATGCTTGGAGCTTTTGCGTCGCAGAATTTCCCGGAACACAGAAAGGGAAGAAATGCAAAGTACCTCATGTTCGAAGTTCCTCATTCCCTGAAAGTTGTGGCCCATATTTTCAGGATCTCCATTTAAGAGTGGCCCCTTTAAAACTTTCGGGCCCTTTTTCTCAAAAAAAAACCGGGCTCCAATGCCGAGCCGCAGCCCCCGCCCATAGCAGTTCAGGTTACGGGTGGGACTTCTATCACCTTGGCTACTCCACAGATCCCACGAAGTTGCGACCCCTGCGCCCCGCTCAACCGAGCCGGTCGACATAAAAACGAGCGGGCGAACACGTTGGGGCGGCTGGTTGGGGTTTACATGTGAGCACACATGTACCATGTACGTATAGTACATATAATCATATACACACGGATATATATATATATATCTATATCTATCCATATAATTATATGTATACATAGGTGGATTCGGAGCTGAGCCATACCCAGTTGGGCTGATGATTTCACATATTTTTCGATGTTCAAATATGAGCGGGACTGCTACTGCTCAAACGGGGTGATTCTCCTGACTTTCACAGACTTGGATGCAAACATCTGCAGGGTTTACCTTCAATGGGATTTTATAGTGATTTAATGGGATTTTATAGTGATTCAATGGGATTTTATAGTGATTTAATGGGATTTTATAGTGATTTAATGGGATTTTATAGTGATTTAATGGGATTTTATAGTGATTTAATGGGATATTAATGGGATATACCCTCTGGTAATTTAACATATCTATTGAAAATGGCCCATTGATAGTTGATTTTCCCATTAAAGAGGGTGATTTTCCATAGTTGTGTAAACGTTTACCAGGCCGGGTATTTGGTGTAAAGTAAGCCATGGATTCCGATGGTTTCCGGTGATCAGTTCCCAACCACCATGCCATGCACATCTCCAAATCCGCCAGGCTTCTACGAGCACGGCCTGCTGGTGCAATCTCCCCAACGCACCTTGAGGCGCGGAGGATTTTCCGACGGGGGATTTCCAGGGAATCTTCAGGCAAGGCTCCATTTTGTTTGGGGAGTTGGACCGTCGAAAAATCTCCAGCTACCTTGTTCAACTTGTTCATTGACTTAGCTGGATGATATTCTTGCTGAAGATGGACGCTTTCCATTTTCAGGTTAGGTTTGGCTAGATTACTAAAGGGTAGGGTGCTTCTCCAAGAATCTTGGGAAAGCAGTTGCTTCGGACTTGTGCGATGGGTTCCTCCTGTGTTGAGAGGAGCCTGCCTGGTTCAGTGGATCTATATTGTTCCCATCTGGGCAGAACCATGGGTCGCAGGCACTACCTCAAGACGTGGTTCATCTTTGACCTTTTGGTGGTTTGCTTTGATTGGGCCCCTTGGTGAAATGGTGGGGAGCGACCACCTATGGCAGGTTTGGGTTTGCAAGAAGGTACATGTAGCATCTTGGCATCTTGTAGCCATTTTTTTGGGGGAGTTGGTGGTTCAAATGCTGATCCGCACCCCTAGAAGGTGTTCGTCTCATAGAGTCTCAATTGATGTTCCTTGCTGGTTTTTGAGCTTAAGAAAGGGTAAGGGGCTGAGTCTAACCCCTATCCTATGCCAGTTCCAACGGGGTTTTGACCCAGCTGCGAATCATGTTAGCCATCTCAAGGGCAAATCCTGGTGCCCCAAGTCCAGATGTGGGGCTCCAGAGTCAGCTGCCCAGGGCATCACCCAGAGTCAGCTGCCCAGGGCATCACCAGGTGATTGATGGTGACATTCTAAATCCACATGACATTTATTAACCATTACATCACCTATTATATAAACCAGATCAATTCACCCATTCGATCTATTGATCTCAATAAACATCATGAATGGAACACATGCTTCAGAAAATCATCAACAAATCCCATCAAACATCCGAGTTTACCATGGGAAAACCCAGTTTTTCTGGGTTTTCCATGGCTTTTCCACATGGAAAACGCCCATGGCTTTCGCTCATTCCACCGTGGATTGAGGTGATGATCGTCCTCGACGGCGTGAGCGCCGTTGGCTCCAGTGCCCGCGTGCTGCGGGCCTTTCGCATGATCCGTGCCAGGGGTCGGAGGGGTCGGAGGGGTCGCAGAGGTGGGTTTCACCGTCAAAACCATGGGGATTTAATGGGATTTAATGGGATCTTATAGTGATTCAATGGGATTTTATAGTGATTCAATGGGATTTAATGGAATATTAATGGGATCTTATAGTGATTCAATGGGATATTCATGGGATATACCCCCTGGTAAACGTTTACATAACGAACTGGAAAATCACCGTTTTCAATGGGAAAATCCACTATAAATGGTCATTTTCAATAGCTATGTTAAATTACCAGAGGGTAACATGACTACACCACATGATTTCATCCTTGAAGATGCGAAAATGAGAAGTGGCAGGTTTAAAAGAATCAGGACGCATCACCTTCCAAAGCCTTTCAATCTTTGATTCAACGTCCAAACCAGGGTTTGTTTAAAATTTCATACTCATCTCACCACATCTTTGCCGGTTTTGTCAATGGGAATTTCAGGATCCTAAAATGGAGGTACTGTACCATATAAGGCCATATTTTCTGGGGATATTCCCTTACATAGCCCTTACATAGGCCTTATATATGGTAGGTACCTCCAATTTAGGTTCCTGAAATGGCCATTGATTTTGGTCATCATTCCAGGTATCATCCGCCTCCTGCGCGTGGCAAAGCTGCAGAACATCATGCAGCTCGCGGAGGCCTGGGAGTTAGCGATTTAGCCAAGAAAAACGGTGGATATTAAGGGGAGTCACGAACAGAAACCCGAAAAACGAAGGTTTATAGCTGGGAAAATCCTCTATGAATGGAGGTTGATGTTAGTTTACCAGAGGGTAAAATTGTTGGTTATATGGGGTATAATCATGTATAATCCCATCCCCCTTTCATATTAAACATCCCCATTGAACGATGCTTCCATATATAGATGGTTTCATCCCTACCAAACCATGGTTTTTGGGAAAAAAATGTCATTTAAATCGGAAAAATCCTCGGAAAAATTGGGGGACCACTTTGGGGATTCACCAACAGATACACGGTTTTCTTTTTTTGGGGGATATATGGATATATGGATATATGATGATATGTATATATATATTATCATATATACATTATTATATTATATTAATATTATATCGTGGGAGCAATGATGCTTTCAATGAGACTGGGTATTTTGGGTTTTTCGCCTAATGGAAGCAACATCAGAGTGGGAAACGCACCAGGAGCATTGGGTACGACTCTCGCAGCACAAAGCAAAGCTATGGTTGTAAACTGTCACATATCTATGGAAAATGACAATTCTTAATGGGAAAACTCACTATAAATGATGATTTTCAATAGCTATGTTAAATTACCCGGAGGGTATGTATATATTATATATAATTACCTGAGATACATATATATATATATATATGTGGCAGGGACCTTTGGGGTCTATTTCGTTCCTCCCCACACAAACGTAATCAAACGTAATTCTATTTGCATATATACTATACACATAAGTAAATATGTCTACATGTGTGTACAAGTTCAACAGAAAGTCGCAATTTTTCCCTTCCCCCTCAACCTGCGCAGCGTCCGTTTTCTGCTCCAAGAGATGCTGTCACCAGCACGCGCGAACGCACGCCAATTTGAACTCTGGGCAGAAGAGTCCTCCAATGTCAATTGTGTTGTTTTCCATCCCTGCAAGCTACAAAGTTTGGGAATGCGCATGCAAGTTTGGAACTCTTGTGCGCTCATGCATGGGAATGTTTTGGCTGTCAGGAGTTTGTAGTTGTTCAACTGGTTGCATGCTTAGTAAGAAGCATAGTTTTATAGAAAAAACACCTTAAAGGAACCTCATGGGCATGTAACACAAGCAACAAAGCAATGCAAACATGTTCCACCACTTCCACCTGTAGTGATGAAGAGGGAGGGTGATGGCGGCCAACCCCCTTCATTTTGTCATACTCATCACTTCATTGTTTTTGGCCCCGCTGTCGTCCCCTCTCAGGATCCTTCGAATGAAGAAGAGTTGCAAAAGCAGACCTTGGACCTCTTGGTGAACTTTGCATACAGGCTGCAGATGGATGGCCTGACCTGCCAGAACAGCCACCAGGTGAGCCCAGTAGTGGATCTGGTTTTCTGCGAGAAGTGGAAGGTTCCAAAGCCAAACACCCAGGTGCACCACTACTTGAAGCTTCTATGGCAATGGCACCTGGCCCAAGTCCAGGTATCTGCGCGTCTTCACCAGCCAGTGCAACTACGGTTTTGCCAGTTCAACCTGATGTTGGTTTGTTGGCACCTGCCACTCCTGAAGTACCCCTCTGAGGCTTCAGCAGCATGGCATGCATCCCCAAAGAACTACCTGGTCCAGTTCCAGAAGCAATGGGGGAGGTTGACCTGTACTCCTGACCAGGTGAAGAAGCTTCTTTATTGCACCAAACAAAAAGGCTCTCAAGCTTCGACTGGGTCTTCGTCTACTCAAGATGTATCTGATAGGAAGTTCATACATTTTCTCAAGCATCATATGTTTCTATGGTTTTGCTTTCTGTGTGGGATTCAAGTTTCTTGATCTATGCATTTAGTATTGTTCATTCTCAAGTACCAGAGTTCGTGCCTCCTCGAGGAACTTCTAGTGGAGGTTGGTTCAGGAAAGTTTCTGGGCTAGTAGTTGCTTGGAAGCTTGGAGAAGTGCACAGGATGAGATGCCTACTATAACGATGGGAAGAAGTTTCACGGGTGAAGGCGTATGTGGCAGCTTTGGTGGGCTACGTCAAAAAGTGTGGACGGCAAAAGAACTTGGAGGGCGAGTATGGCTTGAACACTTGTACTCGCTTAAGATCTTACTGACTCCAGCAAAGCCTGGGTGGTGAAAAAAAACCTTATATCAAACTATCAAACAGTAAGAATTTCAATTCTGTTTCTAAATTGAAAATCAAGCAGTCGCAATTTTCAATTCAGAAATCGAAATTGAAAATCTACCAGTCACCATTTCAATTCAGAATTTAAATTGAAAATCAAACAGTCGCCATTTAAATTCAGAAATCTAATGGAAAATCAAACATTCACCATTTCAAGTGAGAAATCTAAATTGAAAATCAAAGACTCACCATTTCAATTCAGACAGTCTCCATTTCAATTCAGAAGTCTAAATTGGAAAACAAACAGTTGGCATTTCAATTCAGAACCTTAACTTGAACCTACAATAGTATATTTTACTTTTCAGATTTTGATATTAATTTGGTTTACTATTTGGCACAACTAACATAATATAATGTAGT